GCCCTATTATTTAATTTAAAGAGGTTTCTACGAGTTGGGTATCTTGAAGTGACCCTATAACCACCTACACAGGCTCGCATCTTTTCCAGTTCACTTAATTGTCAGGTATTGAGTCATGGGAGCACGAGCCGCTGGTTTATCACCTTCCCTTGACACGGTGATCTTTCCGTGTCTACATTCTTAAACAAGCCATTAATTGGAAACACACAAATCTTTACATTCTCTCTCTTAAATAATTTCTTGTTTTATACAAGTCCGGGATCTTTAAACATAACATTAACAAACATTAGGATGCGATATATAGGCTACCGAAAGAAATCTCTTTAAAAATTACGTTTCATCATGTTTTGGTGAAAAGTGATATAAAAAATGATGAAGAAATTGTTGATCTAAGTTTGATCTCATATCAGAACATTAACCACCTCAATTATGGATTATTTTAGAACGACTGTATTAGACATGTCCTGTGGGGTATATAAACATAATCTGTGTTTAGTGTCTCTATGATTTGTAGACTGAGTTACTCTTTCCAAAATTAATTTTGAATTAATCTTTTAAGTGTTATAATTATCTATTTTTTTATTTTTGGCACTGATCTGTTATTTTGTGCATGCTGGGACTTTTTGAAAATGAATGAATTGTCATAAAGTTTACCTCGTTCGTATAGTTATAAAAAATGATTTACAGTAATTTTCATATGCTTCTGCTCTTAACATGTTCAGCGCGTGCCTGTGTTTGCACAGTTAAGCTCTTAATTGTAGTTTATAACATCATCTCTGCTAATCCAATTAAACATGTTTGTCCTATAGACCCAGAACTTTGTGAAGAGTGAATACCGCTGTTTAAAGACAGGGCAGCCGACACAATTCTGCCTTTGAATTAAATGCATTTAATTGGTTGAACTTGCTTGGAATTGGACATTATTTAATGCTCTTTTGTATTAAGTAAACATGAATGAATGTATACATTAATTTATGACTTATTTTGTATATATATATAATAACTTTGCTTATACAACTGGAATTACACGGATCGAACTTCTTAATTACAGCCCCCCCAAAAAAGAAAACAGTTTTTCTATAATTTAAAAAAAAAAAAAAAAAAACAATTTAATAAACAGGAAGAAAAACTTCCAAACCCAGAAATGGTAATTTTAATAAAGGAAGCACCAGACAGAAGCAGCGAAATTTGAAAGTCATAATTCTGCATATAAAAAAACGGGTTTTCGAAATTTTGACATTTCTTGATTTGTTTCATGTTCATTCTTCAGTTCATGTCGTTTCTGAAATGTTTTGCTTGCCAGAAAACACAAATTGGAAATGCGACTGCAAGATTAAAACGGTGCTTTAGATGGTTAAGTTTTTCCAATTAATCTCAATCAATATTTCGTAAAGAATAGTTTCTATATTAACGAAAAAAAAGTTATCTTAACAACGTGGACATTTTCAATTAAAAAAAACGTATCTTTTTGCTATCTTCGAGAGAGAGAACATTTTAATTCGATTAGGAAAAAAAAAAAAAAACACTTCTACCCAAAATAAGTGTCATTTGATATACTGAATTGTTTCCTATCAAGACTCTAACAGACTAGTTTTACTCTATAATGAGTGTAAAACAATATTTTCACCGCAAAATTTGACATCAAAACACTTTTGATTAGGCTATTTGCTTGTTTCACACCGACATCTTTTCGCGTCTGATTTGAAGTTAACAAAATTATCTTTAATTTGTCATTAAGAACATTTAAATGAATAAATACATTTTATTTAAAAACAAGCCACTTTATTTATTTGCAATTAATTCTGGACTCCGGGCATCGTTAAAAACACTTGGCAGAGTAAAGTGGGATATGGGGCTCATGAATCATTTTATCATGCCCGTTTTACCTTTTTCTTTGCGCAGTAGGACAGCCTCATCACTTCATTTCTCACTTCAAGTTGAATTTCACATTATACATGATAATTGCGTTGCCTTCCTTTTATACACGCGTATTGCTTTGACATTAATATCTGTAGCCTTCAGAAACTTTTATGAAAATAATTATTTTATCACGCTAGTTATTAAATATGTTTACAAGTAGGTTACAAAATCAATTTCTGTCTCCATAACATAACATAACCTCAGTGTCCACAAAGCACCGTAGTTTAATATAAAATGTTGCCTCTGCAGAAGAGAAACCACATGGGGGTTTCTATAAAATCTCACACCTCAAAGCCCTTTAAACTGAAATGGCAGCTTTATTTGAATATACAGACAGCAAACACTCCAAATTATATCTAGGAGTGGATTTTAAACAAACAAAACCTGTCGTTAAAAAGTCAAGCTAAGTGCTGTCATATACAGCCTGGAAAAGGAAGACAGTGACATTTCACAGGGAACGAAACGAAATGTATTTTTATCATCATGTCCACGTTCAGCAGGCTGTGGTTGAGCGTGAGCTGTCAAATCAGGTTGGTGAAGGCGCGTGAGTAAGCAGTGATGCTCAGGTAAGCTCTGAACCACAGCACAGCTGACTGCTCCAGGAGCCAAAGTAATGAGGGTTCCGCTGGGGGCCGCCTGGTTGGAGAGGTGGCTTAACCCTGCCTGGACGAGGCAGGAGCCCGGGCTCTGCTTTTTCAATCGGAGCCCCTTGCAGAGCACGCGGCCCGCAACGAAAATTTTGACAATGCCGGTGATAAGCACGAGGTGATGAAAGGAAGCTGTCTGCGAGGGCGTTTCTGTTTGTTTGCACGGTAATTCTTTATAAAGAAGTGTGGGTTTCAAAACAAGACAAAAGCGCCCATATTGTAAAGCGACGGTAAATTTGCCTTAAACTGACACCAATACGCATAAAATGAGTGTTTTGAATTGGACGAAAATGCATTTGTATTTAATGCTTCCCAAATGAATTGTATTTTATTCATTATTATTTATGCAAATGACTATACTGTTTAAATAATTTGCTTGTGATTCATGCAAATCTCTCAGACAGGCCAGTCTAATAATCACGATCATCTTCATAATCAAATGTAATGTTTCCCTTGAGTGCATATCTTCATTTTCATGGGATTTCTCAAAACCAGACAATTAACACAACTGTAAAGAGAATTCCGCTTGTGTCATCAAGATGAATTTGCTCAGTTATTTTAGCAAGATATGCTGTCATTTACCATTGAAGATGTCAAGAAAGGGGCAAAGGTGACCATCCCCTAAGACACGTGCCTAATTATATAATTTGTCTTGTGAGTGGGACAGAGCACTGTAAGGTCTCCACTGGGATCACTTCTTCAGCAGCCCAAACCTATCATCAGTTTCATCAACCCTCGTCTATGTAAGGGCACAGTGAGCAAGTTCATTTATCTCTTTTTCCAACCTAACACAGGAACCGACATGGCATGAAGACATTCAGCAGCCTACAAGTTTCAGCTTTTAACATTAGACAGAGATATTTTCAGGCGAATATTTGAGCAGATATTTGCTATCACCGGAATCTGTTTTATTCCTAAATCCTAAAAATCTAAAACCAAATTTCTATATTCTAGTAAGTATGGAGTTTTTGGCCAGTTTAATTGCATCATTCGTTGCATTACGTTTATTCGTTTAGTAGGCACTTTTAAGATTTACAAATGAAAACGATAGCAGCCAAAGCAATTGATCCAAGGGAGACATATAGCATATGGTTTGTGATACCAAAAAATATGCATAATATAATGTATTCGCTGAACTGTGGCAATGGTGTTTAAAGCAAACATCATACAGTCACTGACCGTTCTGTGGTAATTCTGAGTTCGTGTGTCGACACTGTAGTGAGCCAAATTGCTTATCAAGGCCGGACATGCATGTGCCCGGGCCTATACTTATTCCAGGATGCGCAAACACAGCACTGAAAATCGCAGACTATGCAGCTCGCATTCGCACCTGCTGAGGGGGAAAGGAAGCATTGCATTCTGGAGATATGGCCTGTGAGCACGCCTAGCGCACCTTCACAAAATGTCACAGCAGTTATGAAAGCAAGTCATTATCAACTCAGGGGGACCCTTGACACTGGTCTATGAGAGATAGTTCCAGTAGTTCAAAGCCATGTCTAATGGCTATTCCAAGGTCAGCTTGAAACAGAGAAAGTGGCTTGTGATGTTTAAGAACATCTAGCCACCCTTGTGAAGCCAGCGTGGTGGCCGGTGGTTCTGGTGGCCGGTGACGCGCTAGGGGTAGTCCAGGGGATTCTATAAATATATGGGTTTATTAAACACAGATTAGGCCTTCACTGGAAAGAAAAGCTATATATTCAATAACCATCAGAGTTGTAAAGAATATAGCAATGCAAGTCAATTGCATAGAAGTGGACTGGCTGTTTTGAGGGCTTTGACTGTTCTTCTCTTCTTTGTCCTCATCTCTTCTCTTACACTTGAGGGGTGTATATTTGTACTCGCTCGCTCTTCTTTTCTCTTACTGAGATGATCCAGCACTGTGGTTGTCCAGCTGTGCATGATGATTTCCTCTCACTGAATGTTGACCTTTTCCTCTATGAAAGATGCTGTATTCAGAGGCACGACTCTGATGTGCTGCTCATGGTAGTTCGTCTGATGTGGAATGGATCAGCATCTACAGGATGTAAAATCAAAATGGGAAGCCAATGCTGTAAAGATGATGTCACATGAATGCACACTATTTGTGCACCAAATGTTCTCCCTATTTTTACTTTAGAGAATGTTTCACTGCCAAATATTGATATAGTTGTATACACATTTTTTTCAAATACGAATATATTTTATTGTACTTTCTGATCTGTGATATACCACCATTCCGATAAAGAACCATTTTTATATATTGATAGATAGATAGATAGATAGATAGATAGATAGATAGATAGATAGATAGATAGATAGATAGATAGATCAAACTGCTTTTATATAAAACATAAAAATCATTTCCTATGTCAAGGCACGGCCTGAGAAGCTTCTGAACATTTGCCATATGGATAAAGTGTTTTTTTTCTTTTTCTTTTTTTTTCTTTCTATTAGACGTCCAGACCTGCATTTAGGACCATTTAAACAGGACCTGTCAAATACAAGGCAAGCAGAGAAATGGTCGCATGGCTCTGAGGTTTGGTTTATGGGCTGCATGGGCTGAATGGACCAGGTGTAGAGCTCTGGCTCTTGGACATGTCCGTGGACGACCTTGCTCTCATCACCAAGAGCCTTGGAAAGCCTCCCAATCCTGGGGATCCATATTTGGACCAGCACCAAGTTTGGAGACCCACAGATGTTGTGGTGAGGCCAGATATTATGACAGTTGTCTCATGCAGACAGTCAAGCTGATTCATATGTGTTAACGATGAAAGGGTATGTGGTGCATATGTTGAGTTTTGAATTCCAACTTTATCTTATATTTTATCAAGATTTTTTTTTTTTAATCTTGTAGTGGCCACAATATGTATTACACTTAAATAATGGTTGTATACTGTCCTTCTCAACTCTCAAAGCTGTTCGGGGAAAAAAAGGCAATTGTAACATTATAACGGCAATCACTATTTAACCAGTAGGCTATTTTTTTTTTTTCTTTTTAAAAAGTTTACTTAAACATTTTGAAATAACATTTAATAAGAAATATACAAAGATATTGACATCAATTGTGCATTATAGATTTTTTTTTAAACAAATCGTTGCAGTCGGTTCTGATAGGCTATTCTGCTAATTGATCTTTATTTACAGTTTTATTATCATTTTTCTTTAGACTTTACGGACTCTCTATAGATATGTCCCCATAGTCATACCGGGCAGGTATTCCTCACTAATTCAAAAACTGTCAGTGTTACGAGAGAGAGCTTCATAAAATATAAATGGGTCGAGCTCGAAGAAAACTTTGAAAGTTTACAGTGAAAGTAAACGTCCTGCAATCAAATAGGACTGCGCTGCATAAATTAAAACAAAAACAAAAACAAGCTTACAAATAAAATTAAAAAAAAAACAATTGTGTTGGGAATGATGTGGTTGCAAAATCGGCAACACTTGATTCATGTATTTTAGTTGCATATAGGCTATATGTTTTACCATGTTTGTTAATGACTTGTTCATTAAAGTGTTAGCAAAGAATCTTTTGAGATATTCGTTCAAAACAAAAAAAAATTATGATGTGCTCGTGGAGTAATTGATTTAATGAAGTTCCTATGAAACTATTAAAAGCGAGTGGAGGTCATGCGAGCGGCACCCCTGAGCGCTCATTGTCAGATGTTTAACTCAAGCAATCTTTTGGGAAAGACATCGGGGCTAATAGGTGAACTCACAGCTGTCTGAGTCGGGCTCGAGCTTTCAGAGCAAATAGCAAACAACTACTCATCCGGCCTCTAACTTAACAGGACGGCAAACTTTCTCAACAGCCTCATCTTAAAACGCATGCACGAAGGACAAACACGACACTTAATCAATAAGTGCGCTAAACGGCTGTTAGTCACAACGATAAAAGCATGCAGCATTTTTCCCCCCTTCAAAGTTGAGCTCATAAAACATGTACTCACGTTTCACTGTATACACACCCCATGAGTTTTCGCCCATGCGTCAAAAGTTTTGGTGTCCGTTTTTAGAGTTCAGCCTCGGAGTGCAGGGAGGAAACATGCAGCCCTGCAGCTGCAACTGGATTGTGTTTTCTCAGTTATTCGGGAAACTTAAAGATAGTAGGCAGGTAGGGTGCTTGGAAGAGTTTGGCAGAGTGCCTGGAGAATGAATATGTGCCCAGTTTTCTTGGTCTTCAAAGCATACTGTGGTAAAACACTCAACGGATGTTTATAATAGCTCGCATACTTTAAGTTGTTTTTATTTTGAAATGGTTCAGATGAGAAGAGTTTAGTTAGGTTGTTTTAAAATGTTTTCTTCTTCCGTGGTTGTCTTTTAAAGATGCCGACTGAAAAGAGAAAGTAAAAAAGAAGGCTTTTTATGCAAGACTGCTATTTTAGCAATTCTTCAACGTGATTTAAAGTTGTGTTTAAATAATTATCGATTGATAAACAGTCACACAATTTTTACAAATAAAATGTTATGATATTTATTTGATTAAAATGTGCATTATTAACACTAACCTATACAATGTTGACCACTAATCGTTTTATTGATAAAAAATAAATGTATTCTTGATGCATTCTACGTGGTTGACAAGTTTTAATTATCTCAAAGTTGACCAAACCAAAAGAGAAATTCACCATGTACATTTTTTTTGAATTATTTGTGTTATTTAATAGCCTACTTAATGCACTTGTCTCCTTAGACCCTCAAAAACTATGGCAAATATTCCAATAGTGCCGTAATTTACCTCTGAGACTTTGCAAGCTCGCAGATGAAATCTGGCAGTGTTAGTTGAACATATGTGCGACTTTCATACAGATAAAGTGTGAAGTGCATTTTTCTAATGGGGGAATTGCGGCAAAATATAATGCTTTCATTTCATTCCAAGTGCTTCACATGCTCTCGGTGCATCGCTTAAAACAGGGTGCACAATGACTCGGGTACTTTGAACCCTCGTCAAACGCATAATGAGAAGCTGACGGTGTGAAATCTGACTAGACTGTAGTAAACAGCCTCCTCTGATGTGATCATTCTGTCCAATAAAGGCAAAACGGGAGAGAACTCGCTGCGTTTTCACACTGACTTCTGCTTTGTCTTTTGAAAAGTGGCGTCTGAGAGTCTGACTCTTGGAGTTACTGATTTGCAGGCTGCATGTTAAGGTAGACCATGTAAGTGATTTCCACGGGCATTGCACTAAAGGAGAACAAATCGCTGACAAAGGGGGTAGCTTTTCGATTCAATAGCGTCGTTAGGACGACCGAAAAGTATTCCTCAGATAATAAGTTCTACTTCAAAGCGTCTCCCATTCAGCTGTGACTGCTGCAGCTTTTATGAAGTCCCCCCCTCCCTTTTCACTCGGACCGGACTATCTCTTTGGTTATTTTCCACCGTGTTTATTTTGCACTATTCAAAGGGTACTTGTTTTAAATAAATAGAAGATCATTCTTTCCTTGAGCAAATAATAGTTCGTGGACAAAAGGTGGACAGAGCGCGCGCTTCTTTCCGAATGAAATGTTAATGCGCGCGAGGGATTTCAAAGATTTAGGAACAAAAAATATGAGCGATTCTGATTAAGAGCAAATTGACTGCTCTAACGTAGCATGAAACTAAAGGTCAGTGCGACTGTATCGTAATAGAGTGTTTCCAATTGAAGTGGCCTTTTTCCAGAGTCCGGTAAATACACGTACACGCTTTATGATGTGCCCTTGAACTTCACACTATTTATGGGGCGTTTCACTGACACAAAACGCTAGATTTACTATCTTAAACGACTCACCGACTTGTGTGCTTTATTCCACAGGGGTTGACGTGATGTCCAATTAGGACGAAATCAAACTTTCTCTGGAAGAACATTATAACTTCTTGATACACTTTTCTTCACGCGCATTTTCCACTCACTATATGAAATGTTCAAGATGACTGTCTGTTTCTGCTCTTCTAAATGAAAGAATATGCAGATTTTAAGGGACAAAACGGTTCGTGGGAGAGGTTTCTGCTTTGATGATTGACCATTTAGCGGCAGTTAGTAGTTTTTTTTTACCACAAATATTCAAATGGGACCTATAGAAATCCTAACGCACCGTGCAGTCTTCCGTTCTGATGTGGAACTCTTTGAAGTGGTGCAGGACTTGCGCTGGTCAATTCTGAGTCTATAGTCTGGGACAGGGGGCACTTTGAAAGCGTGATTGTGCGTTTTAATGAAGGGAATAAGACGGGGCACTTTGTTCATATTCTCCATACTACCTTATTCTTATTGTCAGGCAGCTTTTATGTCTTATATTCCCATAAATGATTAATGCATTGATGGCTTTGTGCTATTCTACTTTTCATTGTTAGTTAAGTGACGGTTCCCTTTTGAACGGACATTGGAAATATTGGGATAGGGAATATTTGTATATTGTATAGAAAGTAAGTGTTGTAGAAAATTTCTGTTTCGTTTGGTTAGTTTGACTGCCCCAAGTTTTACAGAAAATTGAATATTGTTACACATTGAATGTTTAGTTTTCGAATTTTAAAAGAGATGCGGACACCGATCAATGAATGAATCAAGGCCTTTTTTATTGAAAAGACCATATTTACACGTCCTGCCTTTTATTCAAGTTTTCCATATATCTATACACAAACATCACATTTCTTCACGACCTTCTTACGTTTTTTTTCCATCAACACCATCATGCACCTCAACAGAAAGAGTTACTACACGGTTCATGCGAAATATTCTTCACATTATACAGCCTATTCAAGTAAGACCTTTTTACAGAACACGATAAAAAGCATCACTTCTTTTCACCAGAATTATATTATTCTTTGGTGTCTCTGTACTTCCAGACCAACATTAATACCAGCAAATAAATTACAATGTACAAAACTCGTTAAGACGCTACGAAAACATTCACAAGCATCAATACCATATACTATTTACAAATCAGTCAGGGACAGGCCTGTCATTGATACATTATTTAGGGTCTCAATGGACATATTTAGTACTCTTTAATCAGAGTTACATTGATTTTGCATAAAATATAGGTTTAAATATTTTAAATATCACAAAAAACCGCCCTGACCACAGATCTTGTATAAACTTTAACAAAGACTCCACTCATTCATTTTTTGACACTGACAAAATACAAAAACTTGAAATTATTGTCACTGCAATTTTTGCCCCTCAGACATTTAATGTGTATGATTATGATTCTCTATAAAAGATGTATGTGCAGCAAAGGGTGTGGTATTACTAAAACAAAAATCTAATTTGTAAATCATTTTAGCTCATATTATTTTATCTCAAGTCAGGTAAAGTCAGGTATTTTTTTTTTTAAATCGATGTTTCCTTGTTGCAAATTACATATTCTTGTAAATGCAATTATCGAAACGTAAATTGTATCAATGCTCTGAGCTTGTTTTAAGGGTAAACTGAGAGGCAAAATCTTTCACCCAATGACATCCATAGGTGTTCCACTTCGAATGGCAACACTTGAATTTCGAGGAATTTCGTTTTATTATTTTTGTTAATGTGGACCATTCACAATGAATATATTCCTTGCTCTTCACATCAGAGCATTGCCCTTGGGTCTGTGTGTCTGAAAGAGTCCTCGTCGTCGGATTCCGACGTTGGCACATCGCTGGAGGGTGTGTGTAGATTGTTTGGTCCAGCACTCCCTTGGCACACGTACCATTCGTTTAGGTTGGTCACCTGAGGGGAAAGGTTCGACGAACGGTTCCTGTGGGGATCCAAGTTTGGTGAAAGGGCATCACCGATAGTCGTAGACGAGGGATGGTAAGTGGAGCCCGTGTTGGCGGAAGGGGGCGGAGGAGACTTGCAGTGAACCTTCATGTGTTTTCGTAGAGAGCTCGGGTGTGTGTACGACTTGTCACAGCCCCTCACTTTACAGAAGTAAGGCTTATCGCTTGTGTGGACGTGAGAGTGCTTCTTCCTATCACTACTGTTGGCGAATTTCCTGTCACAGCCATCAAACTCGCATTTGAACGGCTTCTCACCTGGCAAATGAGAAAAACAGAGCACTTAGATATGGAAATCACGCATATATTTTAAATGTTCTTAAAATAAGAGCTTATGAATGTTCCATATACTGTTACATAGCCTACTCTTTCAGTGAACAAAGTTTGAAAAATCACAACATTACCACTGTAACCCCACAGTAGGCTACTTATTTTCTTCTGTTACATATGGAATGTTCAGGCGCACCATGACTTATGCAACACTCTGTACATGCTTTTATTTTCTCCGACTTGGCAAATCTTCTCAAGAATTTTTTTTTTTTCATTGTTTTTACTGGATATGGCAACTGATAAAACATTTCGGCCCACCAAATGTTTCAGATAGTGCATGTGGAGTAAAATAACTGGCCCG